TGTCATCTAGTGCCGGCGATGGACGGACGGGGCGGCGGCTCACTTCGGTCATTGTCGGGGTTAACGATTCGGTGCCTCACTGCACGAGGAGAGGTTCCCGTAGACTACGAACGCGTCTATGGCGATTTCGTCAATCTCAAGATGATGTGCCGACTCAGTCACTCGAATGTGCTCATTGGGGTAGGGTGTGCGTGCATGCATTCATATGAGTGAGTGCATGTGTGTATGTACAAGCGTTTGCTCTTGTACTTTTAAGTACATTTTATTCAGTTTAATCTTTTTCACGTACTTCATTTTTTTTCTAATTGAAAGGATCAAGAAGAGGTGTCTAGAGGGGGTGATTAGACCCTCAACAAAGAAAAGTAGAATTTTTAAAGTTCTTCAAGTTAAGGTGGAGTTTTAGCACAAGTTTAAACATTCACAATACATTTCAAGCAAGCATGGCAAGAGTATATGAGCAGCGGAAAGTAAAGCATGCAAGTTGCAAGAAAGTAAAGAGATGGGATTGGAGTGTGCAAACGCAATTGGAGACACAAAGGTTTTTTGTGTGGTTCTGATACGTGGTGCTATCGTACATCCATGTTGATGGAGACTTCAACCCACAAAGGGTAAGGTTGCGCAAGTCCACAGAGGGCTCCAACCATAAGGGTCCACGAAGAAGCAACCTTGTCTATCCTACCATGGCCATCTCCCATGAAGGACTTGCCTCACTTGGGTCGATCTTCACGAAGTAGGCGATCTCCTTGCCCTTACAAACTCCTTGGTTCAACTCCACAATCTGGACGGAGGCTCCCAAGTGACACCTAACCAATCTAGGAGATACCACTCTCCAAAAGGTAATAAATGGTGTGTTGATGATGAACTCCTTGCTCTTGTGCTTCAAATGATAGTCTCCCCAACACTCAATTCTCTCTCATAGATTTGACTATAGTGGAAAGATGATTTGAGTGGAAAGTAACTTGGGGAAGGCTAGAGATCAAGATTCTTGTGGTTGGATTGGAATGTCTTGGTCTCAACACATGAGTAGGTGGTTATCTCTCTGAAAATGAATGGTGGAAGTGTAGGCACGTTCTGATGGCTCTCTCACTTATGAAGAGGAGGGTGAAGGGGTATATAGAGCCTCCACACAAAATCTAACCGTTACACACAAGAGAGCCAACTCGGTCAGTCCGAATGTGTGAACTCGGTGAGACCGATTCAGTTCAAAATGTGAACGTTAGGATTTTCGGTGGGACCAACATGATCAACTCGGTGAGACCGATGAGCTAGGGTTAGGGCAAAACTTGATCTTGGTTTGACCGATTACTTCAACTCGGTGAGACCGATTTCAGTAACAAGCAAACAGAGAGTTTGTATTGCGAACTCGATGGGACCGATCGCTCATTTTGTTGAGACCGAAACATTACGAAGGGAAACAAAGAGTTTGCAATCCCATCTTGGTGAGACCGAGATCCCTATCGGTGAGATCGAACTGATTAGGGTTTCTGGCTATGGCTATGTCAAGTGAACTCGGTGGCGCCGGATGAATCAAATCGGTGGAGCCGAGTTTGACATTAGGTTTAGGACATATTTGGATTTGAGAAGATGGTTGAGGGCTTTGGAGCATATCACTAAGCATTTTGAGCAAGTAGACCATTAAGCAACACATCATCCCCTTTTAATAGTATTGCCTTTTCCTATGGACTCAATGTGATCTTGGATCACTAAAATAGAAATGAAGAGTCTTGAGCTTTTGCCAATCTTTTGTCCTTAGCATCTTGAAGGGGTTCCACATCCTCTTGCCCATGCCACGTCTTAGTTGAACTTTCTGAAATATACTAGTTGAAACTATTAGTCCAACAAGGGATATGTTGACATTAATTACCAAAATCATCCAGGGAGCACGTGTGCTTTCACCAATAAAGAGTGTTTTTATTCACTCAAAATGAAACATCAAGAGGATACAAACACAATCGACATATACCCGGCATCTGCATAATTAGGATGCACACAACCAACACCAACACACCCACACAAAAGATCACATCGGCAATGAGCAAAGTCATCAAAGACCGAAGCTATACCTAGGCGGATGAAAATAAAAAAGAAGAAAAAACAAATACAACAAACACGACCAAAGACACACAGATAATAAGCAGCAACACTTTCCACCGTCTTTGGTAACACAAGAACTATGAGAAAGGTTCTTCAAAAGCAATGCCTCAAGCATGGAAACGTTGTTGTTTCTGGATTCAAACACTGAAGGTTGGATCCTTGGTTTTCACCTGAGAGAGCACATCTGAGTTATCTCCAAAGCAATAACTTCAACAAGGATGCGGCCCTTGAACACTGCCACTGCCAAGTCCGACCATTGATAGTCAGATCTAGGGTTTTCACCCGGAGCTCGAGACTTCGTACCTGAAGAGCACCACCAAGCCAAAGTCACCTTATGTTGTCGCCACCGCTTGTCGAAGAAGGTGATGTTGAATTGAAGAGCACGCACAGGCCATGGTCACGGGATATTGTAATATGAGCCCTTTTATGGTGCATAGTTCCTAACATGGACATCACCAAGTGACCTCCGCGAAACATGAGTAACCACATGATGTCACCGTGATGCGGAAAAGGAGGCTGTGACACCCGTCTCCTTTAGACGTTGATCCAGGAATCATCCGTGACCAAGAGGTGCCCGTTGTCGAGCCAACCAGGCCAGCCGCGCGGGGCACCAAGGAGCACAACATCGTGGCGCATCGAGCGGCCTTCATCACCACCAAACATCAGGAGCAGATGATTCTGCTGGATCTTAATGAAGGTCGGGGGATGCCGCTGTCCCGCCATGCCAACGAGTCGCCACACCTCAAAGGAAACGTCATCAGCAGCAGACCCATTTGCGCGCACGTGTACCAATGCCTCTGTGGCATTGACTACATCACAACTATGATCTCTAAGGTCACCGTCGGCCATCACGCCGTCGTCGTCGCTGCCAAATCATCTACACCGCCTCAGTCATTTGAATCACATCATTGCCTTCAACAAACCAAACTTGAGCTCCACTCTGATCACCATTGATCTGCTCTCAACCAAGCCGGGGTGAGACATGGATCAAGGGGGGTAAAGCCAACACAAATGTCTCCAACCATTCCTTGCACCGTCCACCTTGTTGCCACTAAGATGTCAGAGGTGGACGAAGGAGGAAGGCAACATGTGGGGGCACGTGATCCAAACTCTGTGTGAGGCAAGGTGATGGAACCGAGCTGCCGACGATGTGTTGGCCCTGGAAAGAAGCCTTCAACCGAGACCGGGGCGTCCGCCTGCTATGCAACCACATTCGTGTTCCACGTCTGCATTGCTTCACTACCACTGTTGCACATCGCCACACCGCCGTCTCTATCTCATGCCGACACAAACCCGCCTGAAGTCCTGCCGCCGCCGTTGGCCACATGGGCGTCATCCGGCGGCAGCAAGGGGAGCAAATAGGAAAACCAGATCGTGGTGGCCGCCCGAGCGGACGACGCGGGGATACTCTTCCTTGGTTTTAGTTGTTTATAAAATCTACATCCACATTTTATTTTAACATGATTCTAGCAACAACGCACGGAGCTACATCTATTTTTCTATTTGAAGGAAAGCCTCGTGGCACTTTATTTAAAATTGTGGCAGTGTTACATCGTTGAGTACATGAGATAATAAAAAGCTGGGAGCAACATTTGCCTAAACAAAACTTACTTAACATCATAACAGTATCGCGGAGCCACATGTAGTTTGATTTATCCACCGGTTGCAACGTTGTACCCTGCTTAGTGAATTAGGGATTTTGTGCCCTCTACCCAAGCACTCGAGTAGATCATATACATTTCTCGTTATAGAAAGTAGCAACCCCGAATAAAATACATTACTCTCTGACCCAACATGATCAAAAAAACAGAGGCATGCAGTAGTGTAACACGCATGCGTGACGGATAAAATTATAGCCGTTTTCATCTTTGTTCTTTTTCATGAGGCGTAAGGCACTGCTTTAGAACACACAGTTTTTCTCGAATACGCCATGGTAGCATATCATTGCATTGATAGAAGGAAGAACATACAAAACGGCATCACGGTCTCATACACAAGAAGGCGTGGCCGTGATACAGAGCGAGCATAGGAGGGGTTGCTCAGCCCCCTAAATGTTCAACTAGACTACAGGGATAATAATGCTAAGTCCTTTTGCTCCGGTGTAGGCCCAGGAGCGGCGTCATCTTGAATCGCGGCCAGGAGGGAGGCGGAAGAGGGTGGTAACCAAGCAGCTAGCATCTCTTAATCCGAACCAGGGCAGGCTGTCCCGATTAATCTTGCGCCGAGGCGGCGGCCGCCGCGCGCGCCATGAACGCTGGGAGGCTCGTGATGTGCCGCAGCAGATACTCCATCTCCTCCTCCTCGTCATCTTGGTCCTCCTCACACATGAAGTCGCCGCCGTTGCTTCCGCTGCTGCTGTTGCCGCTACCGTAGTGCACGACCTGCTCGTCCTCTGCGAGAAACTGCAGGAAGTTGGCCAGGACGTCCCCCTCCAGCCACTTGACGCCGGGAAGCTGCGCGGCCTCCTCCGCCTCCTTGAGGAACTGCACGTACTCGGCGAGGACGTCCCCCTTCAGCCACTTGACGCCGGGAAGCGGCGGTGCCGCGGCCTCCTCGGCCTCTTTGAGGAACTGCACGTACTCGGCAAGGACGTCCCCCTCCAGCCAGACCACCGGGAGCGGCGCCGTCACGCACGCCGGCTGCGCCTGTCCGACGATCTGCACGTACTCCGGGGGCGCCATGCTGCTGGCCGGCTGGTCGCTGCTCCTCGTCCCGTATGCAGATTGGGGGAGAAAGGAAGGAAGATGAGCTAGGTCTTTGACGCGATTGATGGAGGACGATTGAGCTTATGTTGTTCCTTGAGGTAGATTATTACTCCTATGTATAAAGAGTGGCCGATCCGACAGCAGCTCGGTATCGGAACCGGGTCTGAGTGCCCGACGGACTGAGAGTGCATATCCGGGACAGGTTTTGCAGTGGCGTAGCCTGCGCGCAAAGCAGTGGCGCGGAATCACCACACAAGGGAACGTGTGTGCGTAGGCGTGCCGCAAAGTCTCTTTTACCGGAACCGGGATGTACCGGCAAAGGATCCATCTTACGCCTCAGACTTTAAGATTCGTGCAATGAAAATAAAATCCATTCACATTTGAAGATACAAACGGAATAGACATGCACAGACTTTTGTCAGGGAAAGTACTAGTGGAGGATACTTTCATTCAGAATAGTAACACTGGCTGCATGCACATGTCGTCCTTGTCTCTCTCTCTCCAAACAAAAAGCTTGCCTTTTATTTTCAATCTAGCATTTTGAATTGCTCATAACTTTTGAACCGAATTTTTGTTTTGGAAACTTTTTATATATTTGTATTTAGGTCAACAAGAACTTTAAATCAAGACCAATCTTGGATATATTTTGACTAGTTTAATTTTTTTAATTATATTTCAATTCTAGTTATGTTTTTCAAAGGAGCGAATAAGTTTTTGAAAATGAGTGAAATAAGTTTTTGAAAATGAGTAAAATGTGTTTTTTCAAAGGAGTGAAATAAGTTTTTCAAAATGAGTGGGGTTGGTCTCACGTTTTTTTGAAAATGAATGAAACCAATTATTTCCAATGATTGAAATATGTGTTTTGAAATGACTGAAATAAGTATTTTGAAATGAGTGAAATAAACAAGTTAAATCATTTTTTAAGAAATGAGTGAATTTTGTTTATTAGAAATGAGTGAAATATGTTGCAAGAATTTTAAACTCGTTCGAAATGTATTCAAATAACAAATTTGACATCTCAATTGAGCGAATACTGTCTTTGAATTGAAACGAGTGAAATCCGTTTTTTGAATGGAGTGAAACTATTTTTTTGAAATGATCGAAATATGTGTTTTGAAATGACTAAAATGAGTATTTTGAAATGAGTGAAATAAACAAGCTAAATCATTTTTTAAGAAATGGGTGAAATTTGTTTATTAGGAATGAGTTAAATATGTTGCAAGAATTTTTAACTCATTCGAAATGTATTCAAATAACAAGTTTCACATCTCAATTGAGTGAACACTGTCTTTGAATTGAAAGGAGTGAAATCCGTTTTTTGAAATGACTGAAACCAATTATTTCAAATGATTGAAATATGTGTTTTGAAATGACTGAAATAAGTATTTTGAAATGAGTGAAATAAACAAGTTAAATCAATTTTTAAGAAATGAGTGAAATATGTTGCAACAATTTTTAACTCGATCGGAATGTATTCAAATAACAAGTTTCACATCTCAATTTAGTGAACATTGTCTTTGAATTGAACGTAGTGAAATCCGTTTTTTTAAATGACTGAAACCAATTTGGTCAAATGATTGAAATATGTGTTTTGGAATGACTGAAATAAGTATTTTGAATGAGTGAAATAAACAAGTTAAATCATTTTTTGAGAAATGAGTGAAATTTGTTTGTTACAAATGAGTGAAATATGTTGCAAGAATTTTGAACTCGTTCGAAATGTATTCAAGTTTGATCTTATTTTAAAGATCACGTCGTCAGGAATTCAAATATGTAAAAATATTTCAAAATGAAATTTTTATTCAAAAGATATCAATGAATTAATATCTTCCAAGATAAATAAAATGTTTGCCTTTTCTGTGTGTGAAGTGGTCTGACAACATGCATGCATTGCTATGCATGCAAGATGCACTCAGTAGTACGGTTGGGTCTGACATTGATTTGACCTAATGGACCTGATACTAGCTAAATACTCCCTCCGGTCCTTTTTACTCTGCACATTGGATTTGCCGAAAGTCAAACTTTGATAAGTTTGACCAAATTTATATTAGAAATTATTAACATCTATAATATCTAATAAATATAATATGAAAATATATTCCAAGATGAATCTAATGATATTGGTGTTGTTATGTGAATGTCTATAATTTTTTATATAAACTTGGTCAAAGTTGGATAAGATTGACTTCGGACAAACCTAATATGCAGAGTAAAAAGGACCGGAGGGAGTACAACACTATACCATTGGATAGTTGGCCCACACAAAGTTAGCTGGAAGCATTTGATTGGTTGGGACTTCACCGGTAGATCCCAGCACCGGTAAAAAAACTTTTTCAGTAGGCGTGCGTCGATCGGGGCGTCACTCGGTCCTCCTCAACGCGGGTGTGGTGAATTAAAGCACCCACGCACGTGCTCCTCATCAAATCATCTGTCCAGAAAAAAAACAAAGGCTGAGCTGTTTTTTCGAAAAACTTTCCGTCTACTCATCAACTGTCAAGATAGTACAAAGAACATAAATTACATCCAGATTTGTGCCTACAAGCACCGGAGCCCCTCATCACCAACACAACCACCCATTGGGTCGTCGGTTGCCGCCGCATGGTCAGGGAGCCACACTGGCCATAGTGCGAAGCCCCCAACCCGAGGTGCCCTAGCTGCCTCGAGTGGTTGCCGCCGCCTCCTCCCGCCTCAGCGCCTTGGCACCGGGAGCCGCCGCCGCTACGGCCAATACTAGAAACAGGCTTTCGCCCCGCTTTATAGATAAAGCATACGTCCAAACAACCACGTCTCAAACAAAGTCATAAAAGAGAAAAGCTGGGGCCACAGCACAAAGACGCCCAAATGAAAGAAACTGAAACGACAAAGGCCACCAGGGGCAGGCTATGAAGCAGGCGGGTGGTAGGAGAGCCGACGCGCGGTAGACACCAGAGCGTCCAGCAAGAGCTGAAGACGGTCACGATCCCTCGGCCTAGCGAGCGGATGCCAGTACTGCAAGAAGGCAAAAAATTTGAAGAACGAGTCAGAAGCACGACGCGGGAACACCCGCTCAATCACCATCTTGTTGTGAGTAGTCCAAAGAGTCCACATCATAGCCGTGAAGATGAGCCAGAATAATCGGCGCTTAGGGCCAACCTGGGTGGCCCTTACCTGCAGAAACTCTGCAAGGTCATGGGCCTCCCACTCTGGTCCTAGAGCCTCACAAACAAAGCACGAAAGTGCCTGCGCTGCTACGCAAGAAAACAAAATGTGCGTTCCCATTTCCGGGGCATGGCACAAAGGCAAAGGCCATTGCTCGGACCATGGCGTTTCAGCATGTCGGTCCCCGAAGGAAGACGATCTCGTAGAAGCTGCCATACGAAGATCTTAATCTTCAAGGGCATCGGTGCCTTCCACAATGGGGATAGCCACTGTAGAACCGGCACACGACATAATGCCTGGTAGGCTGAACTAAGGAAGAATTCATCCGAAGGAGAAAGGCTCCAAGAAACAGTGTCAGGGTCCTGGGACAGAGGAAGAGGGACTACTTCCCTCAGGTCTGTCCATTCTCGTACCTCATATGGTCCGAATGAGCGGCAAAACGCAATGTTCCATCCCTCATCCAAAGCAGCCGCAGAAACAAGGATGGTCGGGTCGGCACAAATCGCAAAGAGCCTCAGGAACCGCAAGCGGAGAGGCTTGCCCTCCAGCCAGGGGTCCAACCAAAACTGGGTCCCAGACCCATTGTCAACCGAGAAACGCAAGCCCAGCCTAATCTCTTGATGGCCTGAATAGATTTCTAGAACTAAGACCCAGCCGAGTGAGAGCAAGCCAGGAGGGGTTGTCCCTGCAAGTACTTGGACTCAATCAGCTGCAGCCACAAACCTCCATCTCCCCGCAAGATCCGCCAAACCCAACGCAACATAAGCGCAATGTTCATCAATGTTCATCCGGCGAGACGCGGGGATGCCCAACCCACCTTGGTCCTTCGGCAAGCATATGTCAGCCCACTTCACCATATGGTACTTAGGCCGACCATCCCCTATGGTACTTGGGCCAACCATCCCCTGCCTGCCAGAAGAACCTAGCCAGCTCCTTGTCAAAGTGACAAGGAGCTATGTACACCTTCGGGCAAGATGTACATCCCCATCATATACATGGAGAGACTGGCAAGATTAGAGCTAATGAGGACAGTTTTGCTGCCTTTAGAAGTGAACCTACCGCACCAGGGCTCCGCACGGGACGCTACTCGTCCCACAAGCGGATCATACCCACTCACCAAAATCCTGGACTCAGCCAGGGGCATCCCCAAGTAGGATATGGGGAATGACGCCAACCTACAGTTGAGATTGCCAATGGCAACGGCGGTAGGATCTTTCGATGTGGGGTGGGGGGCTGGCAGTGCTGGGATCTGATCCCCCTAGCGCCGCCCAGGGGTGGCGGCGCCGAGGGGGTCGGGCTGAGCGCTAGTTCTGCCTCAAAACAGGAGATGCCTCAAAACAGGGCTAAAATGGGAGAGATTTTCACTTTGCGGCCTCTGCACTAACTAGAGATGCATACAATCATTTTAGTATGAGTATCAATACAAACATGGTCCTCAATTTTTTTTACATGAGTATCAAGATATTTCTTGATGGGTGGTTCCACCACGGACCAAGCTTAATTCTCAATAAACAAGGAAAAAACCCTGTGCATCACCTGTCAATTCTATGAATTGAACTTGAGTCATTAGGCTGCACAACCATATGCCTAACCACTGACCAAAGGCACTGATCCACTTGTTTCTACTGAGACACTGTTCGGAGCTTCTTCTTTTAAGGTGGGAGTACTCCTCTGTCGTACTTAACTGAAACGAAACATAATCCGGCGTAGCACGCATACTACAATGCAATGCAAGTGTTAGTTTAGCAAGCAACTTACTACAACCAGAATAGACACAAACCCTGCTATCCTGGCAAAGTGTTAGCACCGACAAAGAAGAGAATTCAAATTTCAAACCTCACCTACACCTACACAGCCGCTTTCAGCAGGATCAGAGCAAAGCCTGCGTGGTGCAAAGCACTTTGTACCGGCCAGTGGTATGCTTGTTTAAGCAATGAACTCCTCACCAGCTTACCATTTGTGTAGGAGTGATCAGGCATCGTATGCTTCTCCTGTAAGCAGCCGAGCTGCTTTCCCGGTGTGTCCCTGACCGGCCAGCCTGCAGAGCACCGAGCAACAGAAAGATGAGTAAAGGTTTGGTATTCTATTTGGTATTTCCCATAATAAAGGAGCCGCACCACAGAGACACAATCACACAAGGGTTGCTTTCTTTCCATTCTCATGCTCCAGCCACCATGATCCATGTGATTAATTAGGCTCCTTAATCTACATAATATATATGCACGCATAGCACATGCATTCTCCTAGATATTCAAAGTGAACTTTGAGGTGCCCATGCGTGCTTATCTTTTCACGTTCAATAATTTCATAATGTGCGTTGATGTCTGACATGGGTTCATGTTTCTGGAAGGGAATATGCCCGGCAAATTGAGGAGCACAGCTTAACCTTTTCCACCGACGACGAGCTCCTTACGATCGCAACAGCATGGAGCACAAGACTCTAGTGCTCCTTTTCTTCTATGTATTTTCTTATATAGTACTCCCTCTGTCTCAAAACAAGTATCTTAACCTTAGTACAACTTTGTACTAAAAAAAGTACAAAGTTAAGACACTTATTTTTGGACGGAGGGAGTACGTACCAAAGGTTAACTTTGAGACACACACGCACGGTCTTGTAGCTGATCGAGCTCCTCTTCTAAACCATCCACTGGGCTTCTCTAGCTCTACTCCCACCAGCATCAGCACTAGCAGTACACCAAACCAATACACGCACACAAATCCCGATCCAGGAGGGAAACTGCTTCATGAGGCTAATCGAGGAGACGGTGACGAGCATTACCAGGGCCGTGCTGAACAGGGCGATCCACTTCGCCGAGTCGGCCATCGCAAAGGAGGCAGCTCTCCACCTCGGCATCCAGCGCGATCAGACCTTCATCGCCGACGAGCTCGAGATGATGCAGGGCTTCCTAATGGCCGCGCACGACGACCGTGACAGCCACAACAGGGTGGTGAAGATCTGGGTGAAGCAAGTCCGCGACGTTGCCTACGACGTCGAGGACTGCCTCCAGGACTTTGCTGTCCGTGTGACGGTGAGGAGGTCCTGGTGGCGTTCCCCTCGCAAGCTGCTGCACCGGTGGCACGTGGCCAAGAAGATGAAGGAGCTCAGAGCCAGGGTTGAGGATGTCAGCCAGAGGAACCTGCGCTACCACCTCATCAAGGCATCCAAGCCAATCTCCGCTGATGAGCAGTCGTTGGCCGTCGCTAGTGCAACCATGTCTGACATTGACGAAGTAAGGCGGCAACATGAAAAGGCAAAAGTGGGTCTCATTTGGCTCATCAGCAAGAAGGACAATGACCTTAGAGTCATTGCGGTGTCAGAGACAAATGCTATCGGTCTTGGAGAAACCTCCATCGTCAAAAGAGCCTACGAAGATCTCAAGATACACAAGAAATTCGAGTGTTTTGCCTGGATAAGGTTGGTGCGACCCTTCAATCCGACAAAGTTCTTGCAAAGCATTGCCCGGCAGCTTATGTACATTATCTTCAGCAGGCCAAGCAAACAGAGAAAAATCCTGCAGATGCCCAAGTTCTGAGGAAGATGGGGATGATGAGTGAGGAGGATTTGGCTAATGAATTCAAGACATACATCAGTGAGAAGAGTTACCTGATTGTGATTGATGACCTACACACCTTTGAAGAGTGGGATTGCATTATAACATGCTTCCCACAAAGCAAGAAAGGAAGCCGAATCATAGTGTCGGCACAGCAAGTTGAAGTTGCAAGCTTATGTGTAGGGCCGGAGAATGTAGCACCAGAGCACAGGCAGTTGTTTGTTGATCTTCATGCTTTCTACGAGAAGGTGACATTCAAACTCTGATTCGCCAAATATGATTTTACTAATGCTACCTCTTGTTGGCTTGCTGAACTAAGTACACATGAACTAATGTAATAAACAACACCATCAATAACGTGAAACAATCAATAGGTTGCCAAATCTAGTAAAGTACTTCCTCTTCGTTCAGTATTATAAGATGTTTTGGATGTTTCAATATAGAATACATACGGACTGAAATGAGTGACCAAACACACTAAAATGTGTCTACATACATTCGATTTAGAAAAAAGCTGGAACATCTTATAATAGTGAACAGAGGGAGTAGTAGTCTTTACATTCGATATTTCAATTTTTATATAGATCAATAAGTCCATATATCTATACATTCGCGGGTAACATTTCATTGATATTCCATTTAAGGACCATGAGCTTACGTTATTTAATTCACCCTGGCCGAATCATACTTGTGCATTGATTTTAATTTCCCTAATTTTGGCTCCAAATTGTAAAATGCAAAATATCTCAAATATTCTGAATCCACAACCGTAGACACTTAATTAAATTAAATAGTCTTGCATTATTATTCTAATATGGAGAATACAATTCCATTCCATGTTTTTGTTTACATGAATTACAAGAAGGGTCATCAAGAACTTTATGTGCTAACATGATCTTCATCGGTCACATCAACTAGTTTAGGAGATAGCGAACCTCGGTAATTACCAGGCCGGATAATTAACTACCCTGGACGCTACCCCTAAAGGAGATTTAAAGTTTTTAGAGGCGATGTTACTCCACATGGTTACGCAATTAGACATGTTTCATATTGTTTACGTGTTTAGATTTGAAGATCATAAACTTATGAAAGATTTAGCACTTGACTAAACATTGTCCAATGAAAAAATAAGGCAGCGCCTAATCATTGTTTTCTTATGTCTAGAGTTTTCAAGATGCAGCAGATCTGGCGGAAACAGGATCTAGCTCAAATAAATCTTGTATGTATAATAATAACTCTGTGTACAGGAAGAGCTTAGTTGTTTTGAAGGAATCTGAGCCCATCGGACGTGATCAAGAAAAATCTGATATTATTGAAATAATTACAAATGGCGATAGCCAACACCTTGAGGTGGTCTCTGTGTGCAGAATGGGTGGTCTTGGGAAAACAACACTAATCAGAGATGTCTATGAAAGCCAAGAGCTCAGTGGCATGTTTGAGAAGTCTGCTTTTGTCACAGTAATGCATCCTTTCAATCGGGAAAAGCTCATTGAGAGCTTATCTAGACAGTTTGGAGAAAAGGATGTGGAAAACATGTACCAGTATTTGGAAGGAAGGAAATACTTGGTTGTTCTTGATGATCTCTCGTCCACCACAGAATGGGATGCTATAAAACAACATTTCCCTCCAACAGGCACAGCAAACCGGATCATAATCACGACAAGAAAAGAGGATATTGCGAAGCATTGTTCGAAGAGGCATAAGAATATATACAACCTCCAGGGGCTGGTATACAAAAATGCCCTTGACCTCTTCACACAGAAGGTACTAATAACATATCATTCTCCATCTCTTATGCATTTGTTTTATTTGACCGAAAAAAGGCAGGTTGTAGGTTCTGATAACATATGGTTTGTTTGTACACATATGTCAGGTCACAGAGAAAAAAAAGATGATTGTTACGCATGTGCTAACTATTAGTTACATGATATATTTATTGAAAACATAAAAAGAAGCCATATATTCTGATGTCCTAGTCATCAATGGTAGGGTTCAGTGTAGGCTGAGGCGGTTCCACCCGATCAACCATACACTTTGAAGGAAGGCATTGGCTAGCAAAGGGCCAGAGGGCCAGCAAGAAACAATAATAAGCTGGTTAGATTAGGTTTTATCATCGAGGACCTGGTGGATGATGATGGCAGGCATGCTGTTACATCCCCGGATTCGAATTTTGGTTAAAGTCCAAACCATATGTGGTACAGCCATCTGTTTGGACTACTGTCCTCTCTTCAGTCAAAAGTATTAGGGAAATGTTTTACATATGTAGTCTGATTTTAGCTTTTGGAAGGACAATTGAGTTTCACTTGAACAAGGAAAGTGCCTCCATCACATGAAAAAAGTGTTTCCACATCACAATTTTGTTACATGGGAACAACTTAAAATAAGTGTTTTCATCTTAGAACTTTTATGTTGTGTATGTTTCAACAGTGTTTCCATTTCATGAGTAAAATTTTAAAATGTTTCCATAGACTCCGACCCATGCCAGTCCATAGTCACTGCCAACGTCCTAATTCTAAGAGTTGGCAAGTTTGGCCCAAAGAGATATTATATGCTAGTATTACTTCCTTTAGATTAACAGCTGTAGGATTAACACACCACCATGGCACAGATGATCGCATTCCAACATAGGATGCCATGGATTAAGCTATGGTTCGCTAATTGGCCTCACCAGAGTAGTAGCATGCTTCGTCGACAAGGTCGCCAGCAAGCTGCGCACCTGGAAGGCCTGGCTTATGAACAAGGCAGGCCGCCTCGCCTTTGTCAAATCCGTCCTGAGCGTGATCTCTATTCACCAGCTACTAGTGCTGGCGCCACCGAAGAAGACACTTAAGCTCTTGGAAAAGATAGAAAGAGGATTCCTCTGGTCGGTCCACGCCAAGGCCAACGGTGGCAATTGCCACGTTAATTGGCGGCGCGTTTGCCGGCCTATCCCTCTGGGTGGCCTTGGTGTCCACGACCTGGAGCGTACCGGACTCGCTCTGCGCACGCGCTGGCTATGGCTCAGCCGCGTCAACGATGGCAGGGGCTGGAGCGGCCTCGACATGCAGTTCTCGTGCGAGGAACGCGCGTTCTTCTTCACGTCTACCACCACAACGGTGGGCAATGGGCAGCACGCCCTGTTTTGGGAGGACCGATGGATCAACGGTCGCACCATTGGGGAGATCGCACCGCTCCTGTACGCCTGCATCCCCAAGCAACACCGCAAAACCAGGATGGTCGAGGCCGGCCTACATGAGAACTGTTGGGCATCCGACATCCACGGAATGATCGGCATTCAAGAGGTAGGCCAATGCTTGCACCTCTGGCGCATGACTGAGCACACTGCTCTCAATGCCGAGCCGGACAGTCTGTGCTGGAAGTGGAGCGCGAATGGCGACTACTCCACCAATTCTGCCTACCTGGCCACCTTCCACGGCTCCATCCATTGTTAGGCCTGGAGGCTCAACTGGAAGTGCTGGACGCCGCCACATGTCATCTCTTCCACTGGCTTGCCAACCTAGACCATTGCTGGATGGTCGACCGCCTCGCACGCTGCAGCCTGCCACACCCACGACGCTGCCCCCTTGCGATCAGGCTCCGGAGACGATACAACACTGCTCCTGGGATGCCCATTCTACCGGCAGGTGTGGTACGCGATCCTCTCATGTCTGGGCTTCTCTTGCTTGCCGCCCGACAATGACGCCACACTCCATGATTGGTGGCTCTCGGCCAGGCAGAGCACCCTGAAGCCCATGCACAAAGGCCTTGCGTCCACAACCCTGCTCGTCCCTTGGATGATTTCTAAGCACTGCAACGATTGCGTATTCGACGATGCACGCCCCTCAATCAACACCCCGGTCGCCAGTGTTAAGCTTCATGCACTAGCCAACGCAAGCAAAAGTCCGAACTGATGGAAAGGGCTAGGCAATCCACATATACACTTCAACACCCCCTCTCACATGTGACGTGGGAAGCTCTGTTTTCGAGTCGCTCAACTAGTCGTCGACTAATCAACAAGTAGTCGCACTTCCAGGGCCGACTCAACCTCTCGACTCGACTCTTGGGATGACTCGAGCGACTCAAGTGACTAGTCTCGACTAGTCGTGGTTTCTGGGTCGAACGACTCATTTTTTTGGGCCCCACTTGTCATATGTTTTTCTACTGTATTTGCTTGCCAATCCCCCCCAGCCGCCGCCACCCCTGGTTTGCTGCTCGTCCCCTCCTCCCCTGGTTGCTGCTGCTGCTCGTCCCCTCCTCCCCTGGTTGCTGCTGCTGCTCGTTCCCTCCTCCCCTGGTTGCTGCTGTTGCTGGTCTGCTCCCCCTCATCCCCTGGTTGCTGCTGCTGGTCTGCTCCCCCTCCTCCCCTGGTTTCTGCTGCTGCTGGTCTGCTCCTCCCCTGGTACCTAGTACCTACTGCTTAACTCACTTCGACTCGTCGCATGTCGACTCGTCGACCATGAGTCTAGACTAGTCATGACTAGTCTAGAGTTGCCCCCCCCTGAGCGACTCGTCGACTCAAAAACCTTGGCAGGAAGTCAACACATGAATAGACTCGAGATATGGCTTAAGAGGCCTATACGTGGACACAGCGGGGAGCAGCAGCAATTTTTGAATAAATTGCGAGTCAGGACTTGAGCTCAAGACCTTAGGCTCTGATACCATGCTAAGCTTCATGCACTGGCCAACGCAACCAAAAGTCCGAACTGATGGAAAGGGCTAGGCAATCCACATATACACTTCAACAGCCATGATCAAGGACGAGGCTGCTCTATGGGCCAGAACTGGGTCTCTGGGCCTATGTACCATCTTACCGCAAACCTGGGATGTCCATTATTTTTTCTGTCATTGCCCTGTAACCTGCCTCCTAGGAGGATTGTACCAAACTTCTCGAAAAAAAGGACTGGGTGGCCACAGCAGTAGACACTCACAAGTTGTTCCTCTAACTTGGTGGGGTTAGAGGAACAGGGATAAATATATGTGGACGGGAAAGATGGGAGTAGGTAATCCATTTGATTAATGCTCACAAAGTATTGTACAAAAGATAGGAAACACTAGCAGACATACAAGAACACTTTTTTTTACCATTGTCATGACAAAATTGAGCAGAAAAGATTAATCCTAGTATACCAAAAAACATTAACACTGTATATGCATATTCTAATTTGGAGTTATATAAGGGAGATATTGCTGCCAAATGGAAGGAAAAAATGCTTAGCTTCGGTTGGTGGGGAAGTGTTAGTTGTGACGCTCCTGGCGAACCACTGACATGTAGAGAGCATCACCGGAGGATGGAATCAGTTTGAGAATGAAATCGACAGAGAACTCAACTGGGGAAAAACAGATGAGTTGCGGCGTCCAGTAAATATGAAACCCTAAACCTGAGGCTCTAATACCATGCTGGAGAAGCAACTTATCTCTATTGCATAGCACAAGGGGCAACTATATATAACAAGGAACTTGGAGCTCAAGTAAGGATATCTAGACTAATACGAATACGTAAAGAGACCTAAGTAATAGAACTAATACTCCTAAACAGGTTCAAGTTATCTTGACTTGAACTTGTACCTTTGCAGAGCACAGAGAAATTGCTGACAGACGAAAAAGAAAAGCATGTCTCGGGTTGGGCGGGGGAGCGTGCGTAGTATCCCACCACCTTGGTTCAAGTTCTCTTGACAAGAACTTGGTCTGTAGAGTTTCAGAATTTTTCGAAAGGTGCAAAGACATCTCTTTTTCCGAGAAAGAATGTAACTGTGGATACGGGACATCCTTCTAGAATGTTAGGTCATATACTTCTTAGTTTATTTATTAATTAAACTTTTATTCATTAGGCGATGAGGGCGTCTTGTATGCAATAGTAAAACAGAACTGTGGTTGGAAGTTCAAAAAAAATTGAGCTCCAAATAGTTTGTACTCCCTCCTATCCATATTACTTGTCGCTGCTTTAGTACAACTTTATACTAAAGTTGTACTAAAGCAGGGACAAGTAATATGAATCGGAGAGTGTATTAGAGTTACCTGATTTGCTTGCATATGTAGCCAGAGGACCAAGGGCACAAATTGCAGATTTACTTTGCAAAATGAATTTTGGAAAATTCTCTTGTCCAAGGAGCCAACAAACATAACAGGAGTGTGCACCTTTAAATCACATAGTCTGTGTTCCATTGTAATCACAAAACTAAACTATAAATTTGGATGACTATTGTGTGTTTAGTTTTATATTTGGTGTACTAAAAATATTAAACTGTAAAAATTTCAGGTATTTGGCAAGATTACAAATTTGGATGAGCAATATCCAGAGTTGGTTGAACAAGCAAAGCTGATCCTAAAGAAGTGCAGTGGACTTCCCCTTGCAATAGTCACCATAGGTGGTTTCTTGGCAAACCAACAAAACACACCTTTGGAATGGAGGAAGTAGAATGAGAATATTAGTGCTGAGTTGGAACTGAATCCAGACCTTGGGCCCATAATGACAGTCCTTAATAAAAGCTTTGATGGCCTACCATACTATCTTAAGCCTTGTTTCTTGTATATGTCGATCTTTCCAAAAGATCGCGAGGTCAGTCGGCGCCGTTTGGTGCGTCGGTGGATTGCAGAGGGTTATTCAAGGGAGGTGTGTGGTAGGTCTGCAGAGGAAATAGCAGAGGGCGACTTCATGGAACTCGTAAGCAGGAGCATGCTCCTACCATCTCAACAATCAATTCATGGTAGAAAAGGAATTGATGCATGCCAGGTCCATGATCTAATCCATGAAATCAGCATCAAGAAGTCAACTGAAGAAAATTTTGTTTTCACACTGGAGGAAGGTTACGGCTTAAGCAGACGAGCCACAGTTCGGCACCTTGCTATAAGCTAAAATTGGAAGGGAGATCAAAGTCAGTTCGAGAGCATAGTGGACTTGTCCCGTGTGAGATCAATAACAGTTTTGGGGAAGTGGAAGCCATTTTTTATTTCTGACAAGATGAGGTTGCTACGAGTGCTGGACCTAGAAGGCACACCAGGCCTAGCTGATCACCACCTTCAGCACATTGGGAAGCTTCTTCACCTCAAATATTTTTCCATAAGAGGATGTGATGATATTCATCACCTGCCACACTCCTTGGGTAACCTGAGGCAACTCCATACACTAGATGTCAGGGATACGAGAATACTAAAGCTGCCAAAGACCATCATCAAACTTCGGATGTTAACCTATCTCCGCCTTGGTAGGAAATCGATTGACAAAAAGGTGTCATATGAGAAACTTGAAGAGAAGCTCGCAAATTCAATGGGCAACAACAGACTATGTCTATTGACTTCAGGGTCAGTGATGCTTTGTGCAGCTTGTTGTGCACCCCGTCATTTAGGTTATTCTGAAGACATGAACCGCCATGACGTATGTACTGTTGCTTGCTGTGCTAGACTCCCTGCTGTTGCCAAGCGTCTGGACAGGTATGGAGTTCTAGCTCCTAGAGGGATGAGGAAACTGATCGGCTTGCACACACTGGGGGTTGTAAATGTTGCACGGGCGGTAGTCATTCAGGACATAAAAAAACTGACCTGGTTGCGCAAGTTAGCAGTAACTGGCATCAACGGGAGAAATGGTGAAAATTTTTGTTCAACAATCAATAATCTCAACCGTCTTGAGTCATTGTCAATACGGTCAGAGGGAGAGCCTGGATTGTGTGAATGTTTGCACTGGATGACCTCGCCCCCGGAAAACCTCCAGAGCCTCAAGCTGTACGGTAATCTGATCAAACTGCCAAGATGGGTCCAGAGGCTCCAGAATCTTGTGAAGCTGAATTTACGGAGCACCAGGCTATCGGGGCATGATGGTGATGTGGAAGTTCTTGGGAGGATGCCAAATCTGGCCATCCTGCATTTGTTGGAGAAGTCATTTCAGGGTGAAGAGCTTCGTTTCCAGATTGGGATTTTCAGAAGCCTCACAGTTCTTGTGTTTGGAAACTTTGGGGACATCAAATTGGTGAAGTTTGACCAAGGAGCAATGCCTAAGCTTGAGCAACTACAGGTCAGGAATGACTGGAGGGTAAGTGCTGAAAATGGTTGTTCTGGGAATGAAGTTGCATTTTCAGGGCTAGACTTTCTCCCAAGCATCAAGGAAGCCCGGTTATGGTTAAACATTATCCCGGATGAACAACTCAAGGAAATACCAGATGAAGTATTCCTCAAGGCCAGCAACTTTGAGGAACACTTTCGGACCCAGCTTGCCAACAATCCAAGGAACCCCATTCTGAAGGTGGGTGAGCTCGAGAACCAGAACTAATATTGTATCTCTATACATGTTGATTATTGTTGCCAATCCAAAAGGGCACATCATGGCTCCTGCCCAAGAATATATTTTTGACTAATGTTGTATCCCTATACAGCTTGAACATGCTACTGGAGAATATGTTTTTTACTCTAAAGCATTCCTCTTGTGTTTTCTATAAATACAGGTTAAACCCTCAATGTTTACAACATTGCTATGTTCTGTTTACGAATATACCACTAATTGGTAACCCTTCATCCCGCTTCTTGGGTGAAATTGTGATGCATTCAATTTGATTGTACCAGAAAGACTCAAGTGTGCAACAGATTGTGCATATAAGTGAAATGTGCTAGTACTAATGGAAAATATCATGGTGTGATTGGACCCTTTCCTCATATATCACATGTGCTCTATTTTCATTTTGTCGTGATTGAGCAGTAAGTGTAATAATAATAGAATTAGTGACATCTGTGATAAACGTGGATTGCGTGAAAATTAATGGCTTGTTATGTTTCTTTATATGAACTGCTATGGCCTGCAAGGTGTTTGTTGCTGTCAGAGTTAAAGGGCGTCTTCGAGGCATTTAAGCTTCTTGTTCTGAACCCATAAGGCTCATGGACTTCAGGATTTGGGAGAATAAGAGAGGTGTTCCAGCTAAGCTCTCAGGGAGCTCCTCCCATGTAAGCATGGAGAGGTTGTTGTCTAAGCAATAGCATTAAGAGCTTGGAATGTCAACAATAGACAGACATCAAAGTTACCGAGAATTGATACCATGAACACTCGTAAACAGCCAAAACGAATTTACTAATAATCCGGCAAAACAAAATAAAAAATGCTTAAAGCACACATACAAACTAGATGGTGTGGTGAAGCCACCGCCACCTTATTTTCTGAAAGTTCTGGACCTGCACCATTGCACCCCGTTCCTGAAAGGAATAGCTTGCATATTTAGTTTTTCTTTTCTCACTATGTTCTAATACAGTGAAAAGCAGATATAGCATATCTAGCTAGGCAGCATCTTTATGCATATAGAAAAAAAAGCTTCAAGCCATCGCCCGATGCACGGTAAGGTTTATGCAGCATCTTAGAGGCAGACACAATCTACTTTTGAGTCTTAGACGTTTCATGTGTAGCACACTGTCCATCAACATGTGAAAACAGGCTATAGATGTTAACCTGAGGAAGACACACATTTCTGGGTTACAAAAGCCGGGCCAGATCACTAATCGGTTTACTGATAAATACTACAACTCTGCACATTCCTAATATGCAATTGCCACTAAAAAATTTCTGCACAACCAATGCCGTGCCGTAATTCAAGTGCCGAAACAAAACTGAAAAAAACACAACTTGTGTTGTGCTGCAGGGGATATCTTCGTTTTCCCCAGCTTTCAGTTGAGTAGTTTCTCTGGGTGACACCTCTGCTATCCCGTCAACGTTAATAGGATAGATCATCACAAGTTTACACTACAGATGCAGAGAAATCCCCAGTTTCGCCACACCATGGGACCATCACAGCTAGACAGTTTAATTCTGTTTTCGCAAAAAAAAAAAGAGGGGGGCGTCTAATTCTAGTTCAGATTGCCGAACTAAATCGGAAATTTATGAACACCACACACCGAGGGCCGTTGCTAAGGGAAGCGAGCTCACCAGTCACCAGCGACCCTCTCCCTCCAACGACCCTACACTGGCGCGGCGAGGATTTCCCCGTAATACATCCCTCTGGGCGCAACCCGTCATCCCCTTCTCCTCCTTCGCCGCGGCCGCGGCCGCCCGCCGCCGGGAGAAGCAGGATGTGTTAATTTAATGAAGGATCTGATCTTCGCCGCGGTCAGCTGAACTAGTGCTAACAAGCCAGCCTCGTCCCTGCCGGTGAGGTTTGTTTCCCCTTCGTCGCCATGGCATCAGCGGGAAGGGAGAAGAGAGGTCCCACGAAGAGAATTTTATTGTTTCCCCAAAAAAGGGAGAAAGTTTTGAGAGAAAACAAAATTACTTCAGTGATTAAATGAACAGTACATTCACACATTCCTTTTCTTAAGAGAGTACACAAAATATACCATATAGTTTTATAAAAGAAAGGAGCATATAGTACAAACACTTCCAGCCAAACGGGAAAGAGACAAGAAAAAAGATAAGAAAAAGAAAAACAAGGCCCGTCTACTCAAATACCCTACTACTCACAAAAACTTGCGATACTCTGACATGTGACAGTCACCCAAATTTTCAGTTCTCGAATGATAAAGGTGCAAGATCCATTAAAGGCATTTGTTGTGAGCGATTATTGAACACTCTAGTATTCCTTTATTTCCACAAAGTTCAGCATCCTCTTTGAGAATCCTCTTCCACGTGAGGTACCGCCACTCCCTCGACATTTACACATTCACACTAGCGAACCATAAATACACTAACAATAAATAAGTGCGGCCTCTATACCAACACAAGTGGGTACATGCGGTATCTATACCACCCATTTTGTCATGGACATTAGTGTCCACACACTTCTTCTTCTCGGGGTGCGGTTTTGCACCAAGCAAGGGGGCATGATGGGCACCAAGGGGTACGGGGTAATCATCATCATGAGCACAACGAAGGATACAACGAGGATCGTGGCGCATGCCGTTAGGGCGGCAAGTTTTGTCATGGCGATGGTTGTGAGATGGTGGTTAGTAAAAGAAACTTGATAGATGCAGTTTCAGGCAATCCTGCAAAGAAGTATTGATCAAGAGATCAATGGCGAGTTGGTGACTCAACGACGCAGAAGAGGTTGGACTTGGTGTCGCCTCAAGACCAGACAAGTATGAGCGCGGCATGTTACCTATCCCACCCCTCACCTGATATACGTTCCATCACGTGAGAAGGATAAAAAATAGAGGCACTCTGAAGAAGCAAAATACAATTACTGTTAAGAATTTTATCACTTCGATTTGCCCGCTAATGACGAACAAATGCAAAAGTTTGCACACCTCCTTGTTTATTTTGTTCCTTACAAAAATGAATGTTTTTAGGTGAAAAGTCTAGAAATATATGGAATAGTACGGTGTAGAAGATCAATTCCATACAAGTAGGCGTGGATCAAAGGCAACAGAAGAGAAGTCAGTGCATGGTATATGGCTGACACTGCTCATACCAACAGTCATAGCATGTGCCACCGACTCCATAATGTCATCCTTGACAATATTGTGAATTGGCCCGAGCCAAATTCGCAATAGAGACGCTCTGAAACCCTATTCTGCTTGTGTACACTATATAAAGGAGGGGAAGACCTGACGAGTCATCTATCATCAACCATTCACAGTTGCCGCTTAGCCACCATTAACATCTCATCTCCATTGCCATATCCATCACCATAACCTTCATCTCCATTAGATTAGTTACTTGTTACCGAGATTTCATCACGGGCAATGACATTGTAAGACTATCAATCATTCATCTTCAAGAAGTTTATTGTACAATGTCATCTGCTTGTGATTCATTCACGATTTGTGAGTAATTCCCTCCGGATAAGGGCCGAGACATAGCCTCACAGCCCTGTGTATGCGCAAGGGATTAACGCATGAATTTACTTCATATTTTTGTGAAATTATTTGTCTCTTGTCTCTACATTGATCTCAAGGCTTGCCGGTACCCAAGACACCAAATATCGGTACAGGGAGGTAAAGGGTAGGGCGGAGTGGATGGCTATACCCAAAGTCGATGACAGTCAGTACAGCAGACGGGACCGATTTGTTGGAAATATGCCCTAGAGGCAATAATAAATTGATTATTATTATATTTCCTTGTTCATGATAATCGTTTATTATCCATGCTAGAATTGTATTGATAGGAAACTCAGATACATGTGTGGATACATAGACAACACCATGTCCCTAGTAAGCCTCTAGTTGACTAGCTCGTTAATCAATAGATGGTTACGGTTTCCTGACCATGGACATTGGATATCGTTGATAACGGGATCACATCATTAGGAGAATGATGTGATGGACAAGACCCAATCCTAAGCCTAGCACAAAATCATGTAGTTCGTATGCTAAAGCTTTTCTAATGTCAAGTATCATTTCCTTAGACCATGAGATTGTGCAACTCCCGGATACCGTAGGAGTGCTTTGGGTGTGCCAAACGTCACAACGTAACTGGGTGGCTATAAAGGTACACTACGGGTATCTCTGAAAGTGTCTGTTGGGTTGGCACGAATCGAGATTGGGATTTTGTCACTCCGTGTAAACGGAGAGGTATCTCTGGGCCCACTCGGTAGGACATCATCATAATGTGCACAATGTGACCAAGGGGTTGATCACGGGATGATGTGTTACGGAACGAGTAAAGGCACTTGCCGGTAACGAGATTGAACAAGGTATCGGTATACCGACGATCGAATCTCGGGGAAGTAAAATACCGCTAGACAAAGGGAATTGTATACGGGATCGATTGAGTCCTTGACATCGTGGTTCATCCGATGAGATCATCGTGGAACATGTGGGAGCCAACATGGGTATCCAGATCCCGCTGTTGGTTATTGACCGGAGAACGTCTCGGTCATGTCTGCATGTCTCCCGAACCCGTAGGGTCTACACACTTAAGGTTCGATGACGCTAGGGTTATAAAGGAAGTTTGTATGTGGTTACCGAATGTTGTTCGGAGTCCCGGATGAGATCCCGGACGTCACGAGGAGTTCTGGAATGGTCCGGAGGTAAAGATTTATATATAGGAAGTCCTATTTCGGCCATCGGGACAAGTTTCGGGGTCATCGGTATTGTACCGGGACCACCGGAAGGGTCCCGGGGGCCCACCGGGTGGGGCCACCTGCCCCGGGGGGCCACATGGGCTGTAGGGGGTGCGCCTTGGCCTACATGGGCCAAGGGCACCAGCCCCTAGAGGCCCATGCGCCAAGATATAGGAAAAAGGGGAGAGTCCTAAAGGGGGAAGGCACCTCCGAGGTGCCTTGGGGAGGATGGACTCCTCCCCCCCCTCTTAGCCGCACCCCTTCCTTGGAGGAAGGGGCAAGGCTGCGCCTCCCC